GACTTTCTTTCAAATCTCAGAGAAACTGTTTCAAGATGTCCGCTGAGATTAAATAAAATTTAGAAAATAGTTGAGAAAGGAAATATTTAGCCAGGTTTTATTAAAAGGAATGTTATTTTTGTGGATATTTTTGAACGTGTGGTGTCTCTGCTTCTGCAGCTCTGGGATTGGGACATGTGGATGAGAATGCCGGAGCAGAGGAAAGGCCGGGAGTGCATCATTCCCGACGTGTCGCGCTCCTACCACTTCGGCATCATCGGCCTCAATATGAACGGATATTTCCACGTGAGACATCCAGGATTGTTAACTCTCACACACACACACACACCTTGTTTTATCTATCCATCTATCAGGACTGGCCCCCCTATTGTTACTGATCCTCTGAACGCAGGTAGATACACCTGAATAAATCCCTTAATGACAAGTAAACAAACACAGCCTCAGGTCGAATTTAAGTTATGATTAATAATCACTTAATTAAGTAGAGGAATCCTGATACAAAGGTTTTATTTCTAATATGATATTGATATGAAAAAAAATCCAGATCATTCATACTTTTAACTTATTTTTAGGGAAACACCTATATGAAAATATATGACATTAATACTGCAGTTATGGTTGATAAGTGATATTTTCCGATGTCATTATATGTTTTTATAGCCTTTAGACCAAATCAGCCACAATGCTGACTCTGGCTCTCTGCTCTCTGGCTCTTACCTACAATATTAATCTGCATCGCAATCATCATCATCATATAACCCATCAATTACCCCCCGAAACAGAACCAGCAAAAACAAAAAATGAAATATTGGTTGTTTAGATCGACCAAGTTTTACTGATATTAATGCTGATGTCTTGTGCTTCTCCAGTTACCCTGTAGTGCAGAATGTTAAATGAAAATAAAATGCTTTATCAGGTTATTTTACTGACTTTTTTTATTATGAACCAATAAGTCACATACATATTAAACTTAGACATGAAAATATTTTATAATTTAATAGGAAAAAAAAAAATTTATCGTATGAGAAACTTGTTCCAGACAAATTTTTATCCAACTCTCAACCAAAACTATGATCCTGATTTAACAGCAAACCTCTGGTTTTCTTCTTCTCCCGGCAGGAAGTGTATTTCAAGAAGCACAAGTTCAACACGATTCCTAACGTGCAGCTGAGGAACGTGGAGAGGTGCGCCCAGTAGCTGGATGCCGTTTGTCATAAATCTGCTTTAACACTGACGTTTTTGCCGTTTCTCTGCTTCACAGTTTGAGGAAGGACGCGTATGAGGTGGAAATCCAGAAGCTGCTGAGGTGAGCATCTCTGCAGAACCGCACAGCTAAGTTGGGTTGGATGGCTTTTAAAAGCAATGCTGTGGCATTTGCGGTGTGTTTATTCCTGATCCAGAGAGGCGGAGCTACTCGACCACTCCAAGAATCCCTGTGAGGACTCGTTTGTTCCAGACACAGAGGGGAAGACCTACGTCATGTTCATAAAGATGGAGTCTGAGCTGGACACGTCCACCTGGACAGAGCTGGCCAAGGTAAACTCCACACCATCATCTAGGTTTTGGTAATTTTCCTGGTGAGCAGGGCAACCTATCCTTTTTGTCCGGCAGTGCCTACATGTCTGGGACCTGGATGTCCGAGGATATCACCAAGGACTCTGGAGGCTCTTCAGGAAAAGGAACCACATCCTGGTCGTCGCCGTGCCAATCTCTCCATACTCGTAAGTAAAGCTTGGATGGAGATGAAAAAGTTCCCATTCCTGCAACATGAGGAAAGGAAAAACTGTTCAAAGCTCCTTTGTTTGATCATCAGTCTGCTGGTACCAAATATTAAAAGTGTTCCCTTCTGATTGACTTTTTCCATAGCAGCTTATATGAATCGTTTTTTTCCAGACCGCTCAGGGATTATACAGAGGTGTTTGATGGTGAAAGTTTCTGTATATTTTATCCTAGATCTGTATCCTGGCATTCCCTGCAGTTCTTTTCTGCTTGGATTTTTTTCTCAACTGAACTTCCATTGGTGGAGGATTTATACCAGAAACGGTCCTGATGAGGTGTCAGTAGCAGCGTTAGTTACAGCTTCCAACCTTCCCCTCTGGTCTCCAAGGAGTCATTTCCTTGTGTTTGACTCACTAACAGCCAGAGTCTTCATCAATGAACAATCTTCCTCCTGCTTGTTTGAAGTCTGCAGGAAGGTGCTTAGATTTTAGATTAATTTTAAAAGATATTTTGAAATCATTTTTATGAACAGGAGAAAATAACCTAAACTTGGAACCCTGAGTGTAATTCAGATAGAAATTTCAGATTGCTGTTCTACAAATGATGCTGTTTATAGGATCACATCTTTGCTGAGGACTGAAACCTTAGAGTGAAATATAACATTATTTTTAATATACAGAACAAAAGAAAAGGAAAATACATCCTAAAATTTTCCCAACCAATACTGGAGGTGACAGATTAAATAATTTTTTGTCAAAAGTCCATCACAGTATCGTCTGCATAAGTGTAGAGGGGAATAAGGAAGGCTCCAGAGCTGATCCCTGAGGGACACCTGTGGCCGATGGAAGGATGGTGAAGCAGATGACCTCTGATTCCACTGGCTGTGTTCTGATGGAGGAAGAATGTTCAAACATACAGAGTTTCCTTTGAGGAATTTCTTTCAGTTTATTTTGATCCACCGAGGTTCGATGAGAGCGGAGACACGCTGTTGACCCTACTGTAAAGGACTGGAGCCATTTTTACTCCATGGGTCAGGGGTAGAAAGCAAGATTTCAATGTGGACGATCATCAATATTTGACATGTAGGATGTCTGCATAAAACTATCTGTTCTGATGATCACTGTAACAACTGGACTGGTTCTGTTAGATCCTGATCTACACGTTCTATGCGCCAGAACCAAAGCCAAAATGTCACTGTTTTACCCACCTCTGCTAAATCTGTTTGATCCAATTTTCTTGTTTCTCTTGGGCAGTGTGAAGAAACCGGCTGCTATCGCACCGATCCACTTAGAACCTCCACCCAAAGAGGAGGGGGCACCGGTGGAGCAGATGTAGAACCGGGAATCCAATCAGCCGCCCTGCAGCGGACCGGCGGTGCGATGAACACAGCAGAACTCCGTCAGTTATAAACTGAAACAGCAGGATTCCTGACGGGAGCCTCCGGATCCCAGAACGGAGTCTGACTGACAGCCGAAGGCGGAACAATGACACTAAACCCAGTTTGAACTGGGACGTTCTGGAGCAGAACCCAAACGGGTTCCGTGTTACCTATTTATTCCACCCAGCCTGAGGTTTTATTTTTCCCTTTGCTTTTTAACTCCATTCACTTTTCATGGTCTGAACATGTTTTTAGGGTCTAACATTTCAAACAAGAAGGGGATAAAATCCAACTGTACTGGAACACGGCCAGTTTGTTCTGACCCGCCTGTGATTCGCTTAGAAACTGGATCCTGGTGGAGAAACACTACTGAACTTCCCATTTAGGTCTAACTGCTGCTCATGAGGCGACGGCGCCTCTTTTTCTCTACTGAACCAAACCTGATGCTGCAGATTGTGGGACGGAACCACAGAATGAATGAGTCTGAAGTTTTTAAACGATAAAACTAGAAAACATTTTAATCATTTAAACCTTTTAGATTTATCCTAAAATCCTGATTGGAGATTTTTATTGTTATTAATGGATCTGAACATCTTCTGAAGCTCAGAAACTTGATCCAAACAGTGACACTAATCTGTTTATGTTCTACTAAAACCTTAACTGGACCTTTTATTTACCAGATTTGCATAATTTTACTCATTGGTGGCTCCTTAAAGCTCCATGTTTTCAGCTCTGCAGATTCAGAAGCTCAGATCTGTGCTGTTGATGGTTCAGCCTGTTTTGGGATCAGCTGGGGGATGTTTTTCCAGAAAATCTCCTGATAGGTGAGTTTGGAATAGTGGCTTCCTAAATCCAGAACCGATCTCCCCTCTGCTGGTCACTCTGGATATGAGTTATCTCGCTCTCCTCAGTGCTGCATCTGCAGGAGGACAAAATACAGCCAAACACCATTTTCTCTCTGACTGCTGAGATGTTCCTGGGATTAGTTTGAATTCTGTTCAATTCTCAGTGGTTTCAGATACAAAAAATATCCTGGATCAGGAATTTAGGTGCTGCTGCTTCAGTTTCTGTATCTGATTCTGCAGCAGAGATGCATTCAGTACGAGGCATAGATTAGTTTGTATTTGTAGAGCAGATTGTAGAGCATTTTCTTCCCTGAATGGATGTAATGAAACGGTTCTGAGCGGTTCTGATCAGAACCTGCAGTGGTTAGCTCATCAGGGTCTGTTTAAGATGTCTTCTTATAAACGAGCATCAGTCACTCTGTGTTGAATTTTTCATTTTGGGTTGAATTTGAATCTAATCAGAACCGCAGTGTTTCAGGTTCTGGGTTCTGAGTCGGCCCGTTTGCCGTCTGACTTCTCCGTTTTTGTTTTAGTTTGCTGTTAAGTAATGAACATTTTAGACTGAATTTTTTTTTTCTCTGACTGAATAAAGATTTTGTAACTGCTTTTTATTCATTTTTTTTTCTTCATTGTTTCAATAATTAACCCGGTTGGTTCATTAGGGCTTAATATTATTAGCAGAAAAAAACCAGCAGCTCAGATTTCTGCGCCGCCTCCTGATTTCCCTTGGGAGCGTCCGTCTGGAAAACCAGATAAAGGAAATGTGAGCGTTGGATGGTTGGGATGTAAACCTGTGGTTCTGTGGTTCCTGGGTTCATCTGGCTTCCTGTCCTTCAGCTTTGACCTTCAGCAGCAGCTCTGATCCCTCAGGATGATGAAGCTCTGCTGTGTTAAAGTCTATCCATGTGTCACACATTCTTTCCTCTCATCTACCAAAGCTATTTCCTTTCCTTCTGTTTCATCCAGGAGGCCAAATTTTCTTATGTTTTATAATCAAAACCTGCCGGAATTACCTGAAATTATTAGAAACAGCTCAGTAATGTGTCAATAAAACAAACAATTAATGAATTAGATGTTTTATTGAAATGCATTCATCATACATAGATATTCTTAAAGGTTTTCTCTCTGAGCTAAATCTAAATCAAGTGAACCTTAAACAGCGTCACTTTTCTCTGAGGTGCATTTAAGTAGAGCAGCAGAATTTCCCAGGTTGGGAGAAATAACTTCAGCTGACTTTTTCATCCTGGCGTGAGAAGAGATACATGGCGATGCTCATGGCAGCGATCTGAGGAGTAGGAGTGGAAAGAAGATGTTGAACCGAAAACTTAAAAAAAAAAAAAAAAAAAAACTAGATCTTCAAAGAATTCATGTAAAGATTCAGCCTTTTATTCTGGTTTCAACCAGAACAAAAAAACAATCTGCAAAACGGAAGAAAGTTTAAAAACTCTCATTCATCATCTTAAAGGAAATTTTGAATGTAGAAATTATTTTTGTTTTTATTTCTTCAATGTGTTTCCTTAGAACTACTAAAAAATTATTTTTCGTCTTTTCACTGCAGGGCCCTCTAAAGACTCTGACATTAGTCGCCCGCTCTCGTGCACCTGGTTGTTGTGTTGAGTCTCAGCCACCATTGAAGCATTAGTGAGAGAACAGCAGCGACTTTCTGAAGATGGATCATAACAGCCCAGCCACACCTGCTGCTCAAACCCCATAACAGACTCAATGCAAGTGTAAAGAGAATGAACTTGTCTATAGGGATGAAAATTGCCAAACTGGAGTCAGATCAGTTACAGAATAAGATAAAATTCAACTTAATTTTATAGCATCATCTCAGGGCTCTTTATAGAGACAATGCTATTGACATGAGGGCAAAGGTGAAGCTTTTAACAAATGAATGGAGCTTAAATCTGCTTTGGTCATGAAAAGCCACCCTCAGCTGGATCTCTTTCTGCTAAAACGCTAAGATGCTGTGGCTTAAATCTTAGATTTTGACAAAAATTAGAAAAGCTGAATGCTCCTCTTCTCCCTTGCATGTGCACAACACTGGTGTCATTTCATCTTGTAGCCAGAGGGGGAGAACATCTGCAAAAACTCTTGGAAGTTGTGTTTCTTTAACAGACATGTTTATTGCACAGATCTTCCAAGACAGTTTTCTTTTCTCATGGTTCCTTCAATGATAAACTGTTAGAACCTAATCGGCGCTGATTTCTTAAAAAGGAATCGCAGAGCGGAGTCCATCTATCAGGGACCCACACTGTGGTGGATCTTTACCCTCAGAGCTACAGAGCAGATTTCTGGGTTTATCCCACATTTGCTCTGTAGATGTAGAGAAAGCTCAGCAGTCCGTCCCTTGGGGTGTTCTGTAGGAGGTGAAGCAGAAGATCTATCAAAGACTCTTTGCTCAATGAAGCAAGAACCTTGTCTTTTATCTAGAAGTTGAGGCCATCAGGAAATGAGGTCACAGAAATGTTCTCCCTGCAGCCTTCTGGGAAGAGGCTTCGCAGTATTGGCTGCAGGACCAGCAGGTCTGCAACAGCTTTGTCCCCGCTGCCATCAGACTGTTGAACTGTTGAAACTAATCACGACTCTGCATCACACTTGTAAATAATATATTTAATAATCCCTTTGAATAGAATTCAACTACTGCATTTTGCAGCATAATTTATTTGCCCTGCATTGAAACTTTGCATACTAATGCCTTCTGCACCATGACTTTAAACCAGTTTTCCCTTTCTCCTACACTGTTTGCATTTTGATCACTGCTGCACTTTATAAATGGTAATGTTCATTTCACTGTTGTAAGCTAGTCATTCACTGTTGAAAAGCTGTGAAATTCAGGCTTCTCCTGCCGCTTGTCTCCATGTTTGGGAAACTAAAGACCTTTGTTGAATTTGGCAGACAATGTTTGATTGACTTCTTCGAACAGACCTTCATTGCTTCTTGTAGGAAGCTTTCAGGTCAGAGAGACTCGAAGTATACAGGATCGTTCTGGGACAGTATGGAGTCTCCTTTTCAGCCGGAGACCATCAGATATCCTTAAGGAGAGGCAGGGTGAACAGATGGACTGGATCTCCATGTATACAGCCGTTTCATGGACAGAAATCAGCCTGTTGTTCTGAGCCCTTACATGCTTCAGAAAACATCTCAGCAAGAGCAGCTAAGCCAAAGAATGAAGCTCCTAATTTCCTGCTGTCCCTACATTCCACTCATCATTATGAGGTCATAATCTAAAGGAGTTTCATCCTCCAATCACCTTCCTCTGTGGGCTTTGCTGTGCTTTGGTGTCAGCTGAGGTAAGTCACCTGAGCAGGTGTCTCCCTTTGAAGTCCTTCCACACATACTTAGAGTCCATTGATTGATAGACTTTAAACACAGCTTTAGACCTCTGTAGATCCTGGGCAGGAAATTCTAAACGGTCCCAGAAGACTAAAGATTTGGGTCCTTGCCATTTGGAACCAACTGAGGGCGCTTCAGTTCAGGACCTTTAATTTTTAGGCCTTTCCATTAGAGACACTTATAAGGAGGTTCTATGTTCTGCTGTACCTTCTCCACCTCCTTTCAACACGTCTCAAGCAGCTCTCAAAGATCTAAAATATTATTTAAAGACTCATCTCTTTTCTTTGGCTTTTAATTGTGTTTTATTTTAAGTTAATAGGTCAATATAATCATTCTAATTTGTTTAAAATGTGTCTGGTTGGCTAGGTTGCTTGTAAAGCTCTTTGGTATATTGTTATTAATTCTCTATATAAATGCTGCTGACCTCAAACAGACAAAGTGACCTTAGTTTAAGAAAGTTCTGGCAGAAATGCCAGTTCTCGTTTTTACCTCTAACAGTCCGAGTCCAGCTGCGATGCCTCCCACAATTTTGCTTTCTTCTCTCAGGGTTTCCACGATGTGATCAAAGCAGCCCTGAAAGAAGAAGCTGACATGAATCTGCTTTAAAAGAAAAAAAACCTGGGCCATAAAACTCTGATTGACTTGACATCAAATACTTGCTTTTGATAAAAGCAAAAAGTATATTCATGTTTAAATTAATCAACCTACTGTAATGGTGAAAACAATCTAATGTATGATTATCAGAGCGGTGTGAGTCTACCTGCACAGGTAGGCGTGCCGCCTCAGTTGGGCTGCAGGGGTCGCTGTTGATGCAGCAGGTGGCAGGAAGCACGTTTCCGCTCTGCTCCTCAAACTCTGAGCCCATAAAGTCAGTGAAGTTTGAATAACCACAGCATTTCAACTGGATGGAAACAAGTAAAAAGAACCAACACTAATCAGCCCTGCTCATCATCCGCTGCGTAGACAAGAGTGGAACACCCTGGACAGGTCGCAAGTCAGTCGCAGGGCAACACAGAGACACACAAAGACATATAACCATGCACACACACAATCACACCTGAGGACAATTTTAGAGATGCTACTTTAGTCATGTTTTCTGGACTGTGGGAGGAAGCTGGAGTACCCAGAGAGAACCCATGCATGCCAGGGGACAACATTCAAACATTTCCATGCAGCCCTCCTTTGCATCTGTGTTGAGCCTTTTTTCTTAAATCCACTTCATACCATGAAAGACCGTGACTGGACAGATTAAGCAGTGGGCTTCTAGACTGACAAGTCAAAAGTTACCAAAGTCTGAACAAAATTAAAAACTATCTCCAAAGAGTTCAGTTCAGTTTAGTTTAGTTTAGTTTACCGTATTTTCACGACTATAAGGCGCACTTAAAAGTCTTTTTTCCCCCCTCAAAATGTGCTGTGCGCCCTTTGGTGCGGTGCGCCCTATGTGTGTTGTAACTGCGACTTTTGAGACCACCTCATTGAGGAGATGATGAAAGAGTGGCTGAATGTAAGGAGACCAGGTGTTTTTTTTCCACTCATCACCATCGCTGTTAATATGTAACTCCATGCGTGCCCATCTCACAGCTGATGTGAAAAACATGGGGAAATAAATTAACGCTGTGCTCGCTGTTCAACCGCTCGACATTGGTGTGAACCGGACCCAGCAGGTGCAAAGTCAATGTAAAGTGAATGCAAAGTCAATGGTTGACGCGCGTATAGGTGCAGCAAAAGGTCCCGTAGCGCGTTTTGAGCAGCAGGCGCAGCGCTTCGGGAGCGTTTAAGCATCTGACGCACCGCCAACGCGCTGCTGCTGCTCGAGATCTGAGCTGACAGCGAGACAGACACAGCGCTCTGATGACATATTAAGGCAAATGAAAAGGGCTGGATGGATGAGGAGATGATGAAAGCGTGGCTGAGGCAGGTGTATGTGAGGAGACCAGGTGGTTTTTTCCACGCATCCCCATCGCTGCGTGCCCATCTCACAGCCAATGTGAAAAAAAGGTGAATCAAATGAACGCTGTGCTCGCCGTTATCCCGGGGGGTCTGACAAAGGAACTTCCACCGCTCGACATCGGTGTGAAGCGGCCGTTCAAAGTAAGGCTGCGAGCGGCGTGGGAGCGATGGATGACAGACGGAGACCACAGTTTCAGGATAAGTGGAAGGCTGCGCTGGGCAAGTTACGCCACCGTTAGCAGATGGATTGTAGATGCTTGGACTAACGTGTCTGCTGGCTCTGTTGTTCAAGCTTTCGCAAAAGCCGGCATTATTTCTGAGGAGCCGCGCTGCACGGAAAGTGACTGACAGCCAAGAAGGGGAAATTGGCATGTCTGATTTAGCGCAGCTGTTTAATTCAGAAACAGAGGATGATGACTTTGATGGGTTTAAATAATACTTTGTAATAAATACATGAATAAAGCACAATCATACTCAGTTTTGCTCCTGCTCTATTTTTCTACCTGAAAACTTAATTCAACAGCAGCCTCTGGGCCGGGTCTCCTCCTCTTCACCGCGGCGGCTGGCAGGTGTTTTTCATCTAAATAATCTAAATCTTGCAGCTATATTTGCTGTGATCAGTGGGAATAAAGTAGTTTTATTATGTTTTTAAGTGAGAAAGTCCACCTGAAAACTTAATAATTGCAGTCAGTTCATCCAGATTATCTATTTCTGTCGGAGGCGCTCAGACCCCCACATACCAGCGGTGCACCGACAGTAGAAATCCCTTCATCAGCAACCTCTAGGCTGGGCAGCCTCTGGGTTCACGCGGTGGCTGGCAGGTGTTTTTCCTCTAAATAATTTAAACTGCAGGCACCAGGATACCGGTAATAAAAGCGAACATATTCCGTCGGCAGGTTTCAGGATTTTAAGTTAATAGGAGTGATCACAGCGCTGTGTCATCTGAGATGTGTCTGTCTCATGGCCAGCTGCCAGGTTTGATTAATACTTTGTAATAAATACATGAATAAAGCACAATCATACTCAGTTTTGCCCCCGCTGTATTTTTAAATACGCAGTAGAGCTATTTAAAGGTAGTAGAGGACAGGTACCTGTATATAAAAAACGCGCCCTATAGTCCGGTGCGCCTTATGTGTGTGTTAAATACAGAAATGGGACACATAACTGAGACTGCGCCTTTTAGTACGGTGCGCCTTATGGTTGTGAAAATACGGTAGTTTAGTTTAGCTTAGTTTAGTTCAGAGAGAGTATCACTGGGTTCAGCTTCCACAAACCTCTGTCATGGTGGCGTTCCAGATCTCAGTGACCACCGGATCAATGCCGTAATCGTTCTGTAAGGCAGGAATGGCCCACTCATGGAAGATTTCTTTAGCCTAGAAAACACAAACACGCAGATTTTAAGTTTGAGTCCAATGCAAACACGAAAAATTTAGTTTGCTCGATCTAGAGTCCTCCTAAGTTTAATGAAACGGATGAAAACAAACAGCCTTGGTGGTTCTCTGACATCTTTTTAACTGGTGACTGAGTTAGATATCTACCCCAAGAGAACAGACCAGATAATAAGATAAGACCTGTGAATGAACCCTGAACTAATCCTTTTTACTTATTCTTAACACAGATCATTGATCTTTGGTTGGAGAATATCTACATAAAAAGGCCACCTCCACGAAGCAGCTACCTGAGGCGCCGGTTCTGTAAACAAACATTCACCTCTGAACATTAAGAGGGTTTGGTAATGATGATGATGACTCAAAGTTAAGACTGGGCAGCTAAACTGCAATAACTGCCCTTTGGCCTGTAGAGGTCTCTGAGTTCAGCCATCAACAGTGTTATGATACAGCAGTCATGAAATGAGCAACATTCAGAGGGAGAGGAGGATTCCATTTCAATGCAAGGGTTGGGAGAAATAAACTGTTTCATAATAAATTAACACCTATAGTTCTAAAGGCATCATTTTATCATATATTTCCCTGTAGTAGACTATGAAAGGTTTAAAAAGCAGGAAATAGGACATTCAACACAGTTTTGAGTGGCCGTCTGGTTTTCGACTTTGATCTCCAGCAGTGGTTACTCCAGGATCAGTGCAAAGCTCCGTCTTCTGCTCAGGTGTTTGCGCTCATTCTAGATCCATCATAAACCTTCAGACAAAACCTGGTAACTTTAGCATTTCCTGGGTTTCTCAGATACTTCAAGAACATATGTCCACTAATGCATGTAATGACGTACCTCTCCACTGAACATCCTGTCATACGGCCTTATTTAGCCAATTCCTCCTCAGGGAATCGCAGACTGATAAGTGCTGATTTGATCAGCTATGCGCGTGTGTCACCCTTCTTCAGTTCCAGTCTGTAGCCCATATATCAGACAGAAATGAATGCTCACATGTTTTATTTTCTCTGCTCAGACTACATGAATTCATCCTGTTTTTGCCTTGTTAAATGTCTTCATTATAAATCTTTTTTTCCATGCAGAAGCCAAGTGTGGAGCTGGAGGAGTGTTGGAAATGTGACCAGATTGCAGTGATCATGCATAACGGCACACGCTGTTGAATCTGGCCCAGGACATACCGAAGCCTCCCCCAGGCCCAGATATAAACCACATAGATTAAATTTACTCAGCTGTACCATCCTGTTCTCCAGTAAGTCAATCCACAGCAGCTGGGACTGTAGGGTGCTTAGGTTGCTGCCTAATGATGATGTCCTCCCACTCCTGATGCCCTCCAGTCCTTGTCACTTACATCCCCATCATACATCTCCAAATCGGACCATTTATGGTTGACAGCCTCTGTCACTTTTTACTTGTCTATATCCTCCAGCTCTGATTAGAAACAAAGTTAAAAAATTCTTCCTGTATCTTTTTTTTTTTGCCATTAGATAAGAACATTGTATGTATAAATATCTTTTTGTAGGGAGTAATAAACAAAAAAATCACTGTGGAGCTTAAAGTGTCAGAACTGCCTGAAACTCTGCAGGATGAAGCTGATTTAAGGATATCTGTGGGAGTCGCCCATTCATCACAGATTAAATAAATCTTCTGCCGCACAAAGCATCTGGGAAATAAACGGGAAAAATGGAAATAAATCAAATCCAGGAGAGACGTTTTCCTCCTTTTTTTACGGCGCTAAACTGAGGGACATTTCCATATATATTGATGCTTGTGAGGCTTCGCTCAGGACATTTTCATGTTTATCCAAAGCTGACCACGTTCAGAGTCGCTCCATTTCTTCTCTCTCCCTTCTCCGTTTCTCCTGATTTGATTAATAATCCCACTGTGTTGAGTCCCAGAGACATGGAGGACTACAGTACGTGTATTTGGATTGGATTTGCATGTTAGAGGGTGCAGAAGGAGACTCCCCAGGGGATCATGGGATATGTGCCACAATTAAGAAGTGTCCCCCAAGAGGCTGAGAGCTCCTGAGTTCAGAGTGGATTATTAGCAGACAGCTAATTCATCACTGTCATTCTCCTCTACGCAGCTCCCTTCCTGGTGAACATGTGCACACGAACGCACAAACTGGCACGGCTGCACATGTGAACACGCGCACCAAGTCGGAGCGTGTCCAGAACAAAGGCTGCAGTCATCTTCCTCCTTTATTAATTATGGATGCTTCACAGCGGGGTGTCCAGCATCAGTCCTGAAGGTCTGAGGTCCTGCAGGTTGGAGATGGTTTCTTGCTCCAACGCAGCGGGTCTAATGGCCTAATCACTTCCTCAGCAGGCGGGCCGGTTCTGCACAGTCCTGCTTCTAGTGTTCATTTGTTTCATATGTGTCCAGTCAGGGAAACACCTTAAACATGAAGGACATCATGAAGGACGGCCTTCAAACAGCAACGCCTCACTGAGCTGCTTCTTGATGTTAGAGGAAGAATCCAGTCATTAATGAACCGAAAACATCATTCTGAGTTTTTCTTTTGCAGCAAATTATGAAAGTTCATTTTCGGATCATAAAAAACATGTTTACAACCGGTTAGATTCATAGCCTAATATTCATCTCTAACAAGCTTTTAGACCAAGTTTATCTCTGAACTGAAGACTAGCCCTTTATTTTTATGACCAATTTAAACATATGTGATGGGAAAAATGATGCATTTACCTGAGATCATATGTCACATCAAACCAAAACGCATTTCAGTTGCGGGGCAAAAATCTACAGTTTATACGGTAAACTGCCAAATGTACAGTATGTGCAGGTTTACTAGTGGTTCCTAGACTTTCTAAAAATAGAATGGGAGGCAGATTTTTTAGTTATCAGGCTCCTCTCCTGTAAAACCAACTACCAGTTTTAGTCCGTGAGCCAGACACCCTGTCTAGTTTTAAGGTGGGTTTAAACTTTCCTTTTTGATAAAGCTTATAGTTAGAGTGGCTCAGGTTATCTTGAGCTATTTCTATAGTTATGCTTCTATAGGCTTAGACTTCTGGAGGACATAGGGACCCCCATTTTATCATTGTGCTTCATTCTATCTCTATTCTCGCACTATGCAGAATCTGTGAATTATGCTCTCTCTGCTTTTTCTCATAGTAGCTTGGCCTCGTTTGTTCCTGTTTGGCTGTGACACCATCCTGGAGAAAAATATCAGCTGTGCTGCTGCCATCAACACCTTTGATTATAGATGTTGGAGATCGGCCTGTTTTCCATTGTAGTCCTGTTTCTCTGACTGTGACTGGCTGGATGCGCTCTCTTCAGCCTCTCATATGGGAGTTGGCTCAGAGCTCGTCTGCCTGGCTGTCTGTTTCCTGGATGGGGCCGCCTTTTAAAGCTGTTTTTTGTATCTCTGCTTCTGTCTCAATGAACCCCAGTCGGCCTCAGCAGATGGCCGCTCACACTGACCCTGGTTCTGCTTGAGGTTTCTTCCTGTTAAAAGGGAGTTTTTCCTCTCCACTGTCGCTACAAGCATGCTGAGTGTATGGGATTGCCTTCAAGTCAATGAGTCGATGTATTCAACTGGTTTTCCTTAGATAGAAAACTTTGAATCAACTTGACTGGATGATCTGGTGAACTATAAAGTGCCTTGAGATGACATGTGTTGTGAATTGGCGTTATATAGATAAACTGAATCGAAATGGAGGGACAGCGGCGTCGGAAGCGGGAGTTTTCCCTGTGACCAGAGGGTTGTCGGTTCTAACTCCAACATTCAGTGTCCACATCACCTTTCTGATGGGGTCAGAGGGCCTGGTGGTGCCTGTGTGTAGCAGCCTGGCTTCTGGCAGTAAGCCCAAGGGCAGCCATGGCTACAGTGTAGCTCACCGCCATCAGTGTCAGAGTTAATGTGTGAATGCAGTTTTTTGTTCAAGTCTCCTGACTTGGAAAAGTGCTACGTAAAAACAGACCACCATCATTTATTTCTAACCGGCATCTTGTGAGCAACTGAATTCTGCCTCCATCACTGTCAGTAAATATATATTAGTATAGATATTATCTTATTTCTTTAAGTCATCCTTCTAAGTCAAATGTAAATTTTTTCTCTAAAGCTCCACAACTGAGCTAACTGGCTGTTTGTCCAGGTTCATTATCTTAAAGAACAGAATTACCTTTATTGTTGGCACTAAAGTGTCAATCTGACTTTTTTATGTTACAAAGTTTATTCTTCTCTGCTCCCATCAAAACAATTCCAACAATTACATTTCGTTTATATTTATTGATCCCAGTTTCTGAAACTAACAGGATGTACAGGCCAGTTTGTTGGTTTGGTTAAAAAGGTTCACTGGATGACAAAAACTAAAAGCACTTCAGAAAAACATCCAGATAATGATGAGAGGATTAGATATCTTATTTCTTATCTCTTAGTTGCACTAAAAGGCTTTCTGGAATGTGATTGAATGAGATTGTTGGTATTCCGTATAATTTTTACTTGGTTTATTGCTATGTTGACCAGATGCAAACTTAATCGCCCCTTTTTTAGGATGTATAAGGTTGTTTGAATTAAAATGAATTTCAAGTCAATGTGAGACGTAACCCTCCAGATATTACAGCAATACAGAAGTGAGGTTGGTGCAAAATATTGGCACAGAGCAGTTTCTATGGTTTGGGAATCTGATCGGAATTAAGCTCCTTTAGTAAATGAACCCAGAAGGATGATTAAGTCGGTTCAGCTTCATTAAAATTTCTTCAGAGACGTTCCTTTTTAGGAACAAAGAGACTTTCTGCAGCCAGTCAGCAGGATAATAAACTAAGGAGCAAAGCGATTATAAAGCGTTCATCGTGTTTAACTGATTTAAATGGGTTATTAGGCTCTTAAAGGTTAGAGGAGCAGAACCAGATTTGATCTTGTGGCTCTTTTGACCTTTTTTTATGACCCGTGCAGCAATTAAAGGAGCGGGAGAAGGGAAGGTTACTGGTTTAACTGGAACTTGAGCGAGCATTGCGATGGCAGTTTTGTTTGTTGGATTAAATGAATTTTTGTCTCTGTGCAACTCACCAGTCTCCATATCTAATACCTCCAAAACTCTATGGAGTGAATTTTGTTCCACTGTTGTTGCAAGCAAAAAACACATTTTGCAAATGGAAACATTTGCAAATGGTAACAAGGCAAATGGAAAAATCAGAAATGAAACTTTTGACAAAGATTTAACATCAAAGTTACTCTAAAACCTTTTTTTCTTTTCAAGAAAGATTTTAGCATCACTGATGTTTTCTCAGATTTGATCTTTTATTTTTTTTTTATTTTTTTTTCTGTTTTACTATTTTATTCTTTCACATTTCTCTTTTCCAGATTGACTTGTATGCATTTGAAATTCCCTTCACTTCAAGCCCAATACAATGTTGTCGCTAACATCCAGCTGACCAATGGAAAAGTGTCTTTGCTCCTCGCTCCAGAGGAAAGTCTGCCCCCCCATCTGGAAAACATAATCTGAAAAGAATACAATTCTTACACCTCAATCTGAACAAGAGAAATTAGAGAAAATAATATTTGTACATTTAAAAGGTTAAATGTACAAAAAATGTTAATTTGAAAAAAAATTAAAGCAAAAAAATCAGAGAAAACAGCTAAATTTGTCTCAAAAACTTTTTTTTTGTTATTTAGAAGTTTAATAAATTTCATCTCTGGGTTCCTTTTTTTCAAAATGTCCATTTTCAAAACTTTTCCTTTGTTTTTGGCAACAATGGAACCAAATTCCCTCCATGTCACCAGTTTCTAACAGGATGCAGAAGTTGTAGGAATGAAAGGCTGAGGTTTGGGTCAATAAATTCCTATACAAAATCCTGAAATTATAGGATCTGGACCCTGATGTTATCAGAACCAGAACCGTCTCCTGGAATATTCCCCTTGACCTCCTCTTCCATTTTAAAACCTTCTAATTATTAAATGCGGCTTTGAAGGGAAGCAGGGCTGGTTGTGAGGGAGATGGGGACGGATATGTAAATGAACTGTTTTGCATATAAAATGCTCCGGCTCCAGAATTCCAGGGTAATAAATTGCTCGGAGTCGGAGATGGCGCCAGCGTCCCCGGGGCGATCCCATGGTCATTAAGTATCTGGATGTAGCGAGGCCGACAAGAAGTCAGTAATTCACTGAGAGACAGAATTTACACCAAGATAAAATCCAAACTGAGAGAAATGAAGAGGGAGGAGAGGAGTTTAGAGATAAGGGAAGACGGAGAGAGGAAGAGGAGGAGTGAAGCTTACAAATGAAGAGTAGACCAGAACCATGACTGCAGATGCCACCTCAGTCAGGAAAACGACCATGATGATGGAGAAGAACTGCAGGGGGAAAAAACACAGGGCGTTAGGAGAGGCGAACATGTGGGTTTTTATCTGCCTGGTTCTGTTGAAGTTCTCCTGATGTAGCTGCAGCATCCAGGTGGACATGATGGGACTCTGTAGGGGGGAACGCGCTGCTCGTTAAACCTGCTGCAGCGAGCTACGAGGCAGTTAGCCTCATCATTAACAAGCAGGATAATGTGAGCTTTGCTGTTCAGGGCGGCTGATGATCCGGGTCGGACCGTAAATCCAAATACGGTTTCTTAATTTGTGCAGCTGAGGTCAAACATTAATTTGTTTCATTTAGAAGGTTTCCATTTGGTCTCAGCAAAACTTTTCAGCCAGGCTGGACTTTGACTAGACCACTGCATGTTGATTCTCTGCTTTTTCAAATGTTCTGTTGTGGTTCTGCCGCTGCTTAGGATCATTGTCCTGTTGGTGACCCGGTTTGAAACAAATGCTTCTGGGACAACCCAATGCAATCCACCTCCCCCCATGTCAGCGTGAGTTAAAATGGCTGAAATTCTGTTTGGTTTCTCCAAACGTGGCCTCGTTGGTCTCACTGTCCATAAAACAAGTCTTCAGAGGTTTTATTGTTAATCTAGATTCAGCTTTAGAGACTTAACTCCTGCTGACATCTTGTTTTTAGAGAGGATTCTTCTTTAGGACTTCCTAACAGGCAGACTGGTCCATGTTCATGACCTTTGCCCTTTGACCTGCTAACCTTTAGGCTGAGCTCTTGAGTTTTAGGTTGTTTCCAAGGTCTTCCAAATCTACTCACCGTCAGAAGGAGAAACTTGCTTTCCTTATGAGCCCCACAGCTTCCCAGAAGTCCCAGCACCACTAGCGCGGTCCCCATGGCGATGCAGAAAAGGCCCACATTAATGAACGTCAGGTAGTCTTTGGAGAAAGGCCACAGGAGATGCAGGAAATGATTCCCATCCACAGTCACCCATATTCCCAGTGCCAGAAGAGTCAGGCCAATCAGCTGCAAGAGAAATACAGATTTTGGTCCGATGTTGAAAACCGTTAACGAGACCAGGAATGGATCTTAAAGTGTTAAATATTGGACATATACACTCACCGGCCACTTTATTAGGTACACCTGTCCAACTGCCCGTTACCACTTAATTTCTAAGCAGCCAATCACATGGCGGCAACTCAGTGCATTTAGGCATGTAGACATGGTCAAGACAATCTCCTGCAGTTAAAACCGAGCATCAGTATGGGGAAGAAAGGTGATTTGAGTGACTTTGAACGTGGCATGATTGTTGGTGCCAGAAGGGCTGGTCTGAGTATTTCAGAAACTGCTGATCTACTGGGATTTTAACGCACAACCATCTCTAGGGTTTACAGAGAATGGTCCGAAAAAGAAAAAACGTCCAGTGAGCGGCAGTTCTGTGGGCGGAAATGCCTTGTTGATGCCAGAGGTCAGAGGAGAATGGCCAGACTGGTTCGAGCTGATAGAAGGGCAACAGTGACTCAAATAACCACCCGTTACAACCAAGGTGAGCAGAAGAGCATCTCTGAACGCACAGTACATCGAAATTTGAGGCAGATGGGCTACAGCAGCAGAAGACCACACCGGGTGCCACTCCTTTCAGCTAAGAACAGGAAACTGAGGCTACAATTTGCACAAGCTCATTGAAATTGGACAATAGAAGATTGGAAAAACGTTGCCTGGTCTGATGAGTCTCGATTTCTGCTGCGACATTCGGATGGTAGGGTCAGAATTTTGGCGTCTACAACATGAAAGCATGGATCCATCCTGCCTTGTGTCAACGGTTCAGGCTGGTGGTGGTGGTGTCATGGTGTGGGGAATATTTTCTTGGCACTCTTTGGGCACCTTGGTACCAATTGAGCATCGTTGCAACACCACAGCCTACCTGAGTATTGTTGCTGACCATGTCCATCCCTTTATGACCACAATGTACCCAACTTCTGATGGCTACTTTCAGCAGGATAATGCGCCATGTCATAAAGCTGGAATCATCTCATACTGGTTTCTTGAACATGACAATGAGTTCACAGTACTCAAATGGCCTCCACAGTCACCAGATCTCAATCCAATAGAGCATCTTTGGGATGTGGTGGAACGGGAGATTCGCATCATGGATGTGCAGCCGACAAATCTGCGGCAACTGTGTGATGCCATCATGTCAATATGGACCAAACTCCCTGAGGAATGCTTCCAGCACCTTGTTGAATCTATGCCACCAAGAATTGAGGCATTTCTGAAGGCAAAAGGGGGTCCAACCCGTTACTAGCATGGGGTACCTAATAAAGTGGCCGGTGAGTGTATATCACTAGATATTAAACAAACAAAACAAACTCAAACTATATAAAGAGAGAAACAACTCCACATTAATCAGCAGTTATTCCCAAATTTTGTATCCTGTGTTAAGTTTTTCCTTTATTTATGTAAATAGGCTCCTGTTTGATTATGAAATTAATAAAATGAATGGATTATATAAATGATGAATGCATAAAACATTTTTTTCAAACAAATTAATAAAAATGCAAAAATGATTCTTTGTTACAGATTCGACATGGAAATACTAAGATTAATAACCTGTCTAATAGTTATATGTATAATTTAGTGCTTATGTCTGTTATATAGTTCTATAGTCCATAACAGCAGCAATATTCCCCGATTCCTATTTAACTTACTAGTCCATACTGCTCCAAAGGTCCATTAGGTGAGCAAATAAACACGTTTATGTATATATAAACATACACACGTCTACGCCCATCTTCGTTTACACAATTATTACACCTACGTCAGAATATCTGAGTCATTAACTTTATCAACATCTGAAACCAAAATGTTTGAATTGCTTTTATCTTAAAAACAAAGCTGCCTCGTTTTAAAGCTTTAAACATAATTATAGATTATTTGGGGCCATTAAACTCAAAGCTTTTGGTAATAAGATGAATAAAATTTTCATTTCACTGCAAATATGAGACTCAAATATTTAAAGAAAGTCTAAAACTCTCTCAGTCACATCATCTCTGGAGTCTAACATTTCCTGCTGTGACTTCTACAGCCGATCAACCAAATTCATCAGCGGGAGATGTTCAGGCCAAGGAATAGAGAGGGAAATATTCCTCATGCTGGGAGCTTTATCAGAGTCCAGCTGGTTCGGACTCTGCAGGAAAACTCAGCTCCCTGCTGCCAGGAATGTTTCCCAAACACTGAAGATGATCCACATTAGGTGGCAGATATTCAGACACTGGAGCCTTTTGAAGTTAATGAGATGAAAATGATCCAGTTGGGAAGAAAATGGAGCAGAACAAGAATCACTGCTGTCTCTGTGCACTGAGATGTTGGCGCAACCTCTATGTTCACGTTGAATGGTGTCAAGGCAGAAAGGTAAAACATGAGCAGAATTGTACTCACAAAGACAAGCAGGAGGAGGAGAACCGTCAGCAGTTTGGTGAATGTGAAGCAGCTCATTTTATTCTGTCAAAATAAACTGTTTGTTTTACTCAAATAGCAAAAAGGACCCAATGAATGACAAAGATCTGATTCTGGAAGAAAAAAATTTACCTTTTAACAGATGATAAACCCAGAGAATGCTGAGGGCTTCAGGGCTGCAAAAGGAAGAAACTTCCCACTCAGCTGATGAGTGGAAACAGAATCTGCAGGGATGATGTCCAGGTAGATAAAGAGGCAGGGTGTGGCCCCTGGTCATCCAGGTGCGGTTACAGCTCTGCCCTCTGCAGGTCTCCTTATAAATCAGACAGTTACTATTTAATGCAGCACTGGATGAGACATACAGGCTTAAATCTAATTCATTAAGACCTGGACGGATTCAGTTTATCACAATTATTTATGGTAACCTTAAGATTGTTCTAAATCTACAATTAACAATAATTCAGCTGTGACTAATTAAAGGTGATTAAGACACCAAACTGACCAGTTTCTCGCTAAATGGTCAGACCAAGCTATTTAACTCTATAATTCATCTAGTATTTTTATATTCAGCATGCCATGTCTCGGCACCATTTTGGGGTCTTTTTCTCTGCTTGGAAGCAATGGCTGCTCAACATGTGAGAAAAACTGCAGAAATTATGTTAATATCTCTGATGAAGGATCAAGTTTTATTATTATTAAGTAAAGATTTAGGATAAGTAGTAAAAAAAAAAAGATCTGATTCATTTACATGTTTATATTATCAGTTTTCATTCATGTTTCCTGGTTTCAAGATAAAGATTAAACCTCTTTCCAATAAAACCATATTTACTTTGATACAAATCCAGTTAAATTTTCCCAAAAACAGATAATTAGTTGTTGCATTTTTTTTTGAAGAAAAATGTTATCCTAGTTTTGACATTCTTAATATGTCAAGCACTTGTATAAAGGTGTAGATGAACCACTGTTCAGTTAAATTAAGGCATTTCAACTTTTTTTTTTTTTTTTTTTTGGATTATGTAAGATAAACAATTTCATTTTCGCTCAGTATGCCAGAATACGGTCCAGTAAAAGAAATTATTCCTAAAAAAAAATTTTGAATTTAAAGGATATATTCAAAATATTTAATACAAATAACATCAATGCTGTGTTAATGTAATTCTATAGGAAAATCTATTAAACCTTAAACAGGATTTCTCTAATTAATTAGCTGATCAAATGAAGTTTGAGATAAAATATGGTAAAATGTTGCAGATTTCATCTACTTCATCTTTAGATTCATTGCTTTCTCCAGCAGAAACATAATCATTAAAGCACAGCACCATGCAGTTCGAACAGAGAAGAAATGAAGAGAAAAATCTCTCATCATACCTGCAACAGGTCTGAGCTGCTCTTTGTTTCCTCCTTTGTTCCTCACAGAGCTGCAGTGTCCTATACTGACCGCTAGAGGGAGGTGGTGAATTTCATCTGCTCTGAGTGCAGCTGATCTGTTTCTCTTTGTTTGGTGTAAAACATGTTTTTATGAACAACACTGTAGAGAACAGGGCCACGGTCACAAAGCACAGAAAGCCTCTTTGTTTCAGATATATTTCTCTGATGCAGACTCTGCTGCTGATGTTGCTTCAAAGTTTTTTTAGAAGGAATACTTCAATTGCTTTGGTGTTGTGTGATTTATTTTTATAATTAAGTATCAAATAGGATTTTTATATGAAGAACATTGATGATTAGGGTAATTAGATTATTAAAAAGTAGATGTTAAGTTTGAAAAGTCTCTTAAAATGTCTCACTATTGTTACCCAATTTTTAAGTTAATGATTGTTATAATTTCTAATTACAGCCCTTCCTTCAGAACCAGGGAACCATTTGAATCTAGCATCTTGTAGAACCTCCTGCTGCAACAGTCACTTCATTAGGGGATAAAATGCTCCTCACACTCATTAGGATTTCTCGTTGGCGAGATTCCAAAAAGGCATTTAACCACATTGACTTTGACTAGGCCATTGTCACAGCTCAATCATTTTCTCATGAGCTTTTTGTTTGTAGATAATCTTTTCTGTTATTGCCCATTCTGGACCAAGCTTCAGCTGTTGGCTTCTTTTTGGTGCTCTGGATGATGTGTCTGCAGAGTAAATCCTTATAACCTTGATAGTCACTAACTGGCGCTAAAGCTGACCTCCAGCTGCTGCACAAATGAACAAATCAAAGTGTTGAAGCTGCTGTGTGCTGTTGCTCACACTTAGAACATAACAAAGAGGTCCTGACATGGAAGAACCCCTTGTTTGGAAATTGGGTTCCATGCACAGGCGTAACTTTCTGAAGGACTGGTGTGGCCATATCCCCACCAATAATTTCAATACATAGACTTTCAGCAATATGTGGGCCAAATTTCTAAAGTTGATTTGGCTGCTTTTGAAAAAGGATAATCACTGATGTAGGATGTAGTTGCAAGGGAAAACATCCATCAATCAATCCCCATTTTTCTGGATGGATGGATGGATGGATGGATGGATGGATGGATGGATGGATGGATGGATGGATGGATGGATGGATGGATGGATGGATGGATGGATGGAGGAATGAAACTGAAATTGTGTCCATACTGGGGAGGCATGATATATTGCTTTTGGCATCGGAATTGGCTGTTATTCATTCTTTTTTATATACATTAATGTCTACCTACCTATAAATATAAATATCAGTGTATTTTTGTTCTTTTGTGTTCTCAACAATAGAAAAACATTCAATAAATATATGTTTGAGCTCATTTTTGGAAAATACAAACCCTATTGAACGTGTTTGTGTCGAGTACCTGTAGGTCCATCAGCCACCAGACTTAGAGTGTCACCAACTTTCATTACAAAGTTACAGTCTTGGTTCCTAAACACATCCGTATTTTTTTTTCTTGTTGGAAAGAGCTGCAGAGCTTGTTTTGTTGTGGATGTCGCCTTTAATGCATACAGTTAACATTTCTCTTAAGACAAGCAGCAAAAACAGGAGGAAAAATGAGAGCAAAGCTCCACGTGAAGCCACCTAGTTGGAAAGTTGAGTCTGTATGGCTCAGATCTTTGCGGGAATATTGCTTTAATGGCCTTGTTGTGAGTTATGACAATCTGAGCCACACCATCATTAAACCATGGGTTCTTTATCTCTGTAAGAGAAGCACCTGTCAGGCTTCGTTTGCTATTAAAGCCTTAATAATGTCTGCCTTCGCCCATGCACACACACACTCCACAGCGGCGCATGGAGAATGAAAGGAGCTTTCTCATCTACTCTGAAAGCAGCAGAGATGGAGAAGGTAAAGGAACTCTGGCGTCCTAATGAGGTCAGTTAGATGGAGTATTATCATCGGCCCTCCAGGGCAGCTGCCTCAGTTAGACATGTAGACCCAGGGAATCCCAGGTGGGCTCTAACTCATCCTGTAACTGGATCTTAAGGTTGATGGGATATTAGCCAACACGTCCTTAGCGTGTTTAATGGCCGTAACGCTCATTAAAAGCTTTCAGCTTCTGTAAATCGAATATCCAAAGATGAATCATCTCAGATTAGCTGCCAGAAACAATAACTTATTTTGATGTGTGACAATGACGCTCTCCTTCACTTTTTTTCAGATTTTCTTTTGTTATACTTAAAATCCTAAAATCACAATAATAACCAGATCAACTGTAATTCTTGTACATTTTTTAACTCCTGCTATTTTACATCCGTTTAGCAAATTAGTGAAGAAAAAATATAAATCAATGTCCACTTTAATGATCTGATTGGTGGAAGTTGTAGACTCTTATTTTGAAAAGCATAATTTTGATTAAATATTTCACTTAAAACTGAAAGAAAAAGAGATAGGTGTTCAAATAGTGTTTGTTTCCAGGATAATATACCAACCTAAGAAAATCCCCAGTTTTAATGCTGATAAAGTCTAATCCTTGCAGTCTTGTCCAGGACTTGATCTCTCCTTTGTTTCTGATTCTTAGTTTGCTCCAGAGTGGGATTCTTCATCATCCATGTGGACCTGCTTTATATTTTTGTGGTCTTGCTTTATATGTATGTTTCCTTCCTTTCCGTATAATACGTTACAGACAGTATTGAACTGCTGGAGATGGACTTAGAATTCAGTGCTTTAAATTTTGATCACACATTTCACACCATGCTGAGATTTACAATGTTTTTAGCCAGCAGTAGTTAAGAAATAGTCTTGACCTTACTTTAAAAAAAAAAGGTAAATTCTAACATTGATAGATCTCTAGTAACAAAAGGGCCTACATGTTTAAATCAAAACTATGACAAAGACAATGTAAGCAAAAATACACTAAGGTGGCCAAAGTTGAGCCAAAATATAATCTTTATTTGATCTTTTTTAGAGTTGGTTACTATGATTGCCACAGATGTTTTATTCCATGGTTGGTGAAATAGAGCTTAATCCTAATTTCTGTTTAACTCTGTTAATCTGTGGAATATTTAGATATGAATCAGGAAAAAAAAAAACAAATGAAAAAACTGTAACCAACTGTAGATTGTGACATAGTAAAAAAGGCTGCAGAAATAAAAAAATAGTTTCTGTGCTAATTGGTCCTCTGGTTCATCCCATACCAGGATCCTTTTATCTCTGAATGAGGGTAGCTGAGATATCAGTGGATTAAAAAATCCAGATGATCAGAAGGGGGCTTAATCTGGGGGCAAAGGCAGACATGGGAAATCGTTCAGAAAGATGTTCTGATATATTGAAACAGTTCCACATTTTCTTTTAAACTCCTAATTTAGAAAATAATTAATTAAACAAAATATCAGATTGCTAAAACATTCAGTACATGGTTGTTATTTTCCACCAACATGATTGATGTAATGAATCCTGATGGCGAAGACGGAGTGAATTAAGTCTTTTCCTGGAATGAATTCCAGCAGAAACAGGACTGAGTGTTCTGTGAGCACAAATAATAATAAAAAACAGAGAATGGGCTGTTTGTTTTATGGTATAAACAACTCATAAATCCTAAAAATCACCGCTGAGCTGTTCGCAGTGCCGTTCACAGTCCTGATATGGTCTCTGAGATGGAAACGAAAACATGGCTGTTTCTCTCAATTCCTGATAAGCTGACATTGTGTGGATAAAATATTTTCCCTCCCAGGCAATGATTCCCAGGCTTGTGTGCCGACACCGTGTGCCGATGTTGGATTTGGGCCTCGGAGTTCACGACCCGTTGAACCATAAAGCACCACGGCACTGGGCCGGTGTAAATAGCCTACGGTGATGGTGGTGTGTTACAGACAGCAGACGATGATGAGGGTGATGATGGTGATGTATACCTGTACCCACCCTGACCTCTTCTCTCTGCTGCCCCTGGAGGCAGGATGCGTCCCTAACTGAGAGACGAGTAAATTATGATCTGATGAATCGCCTCGATCGCTGGTCCAATAACATCTTTTGTTCACACAATAACAAGCAGCCGCTGGAGTCTTTATGAGACGCCTAATTACTCATACATGGAGCCTGAAACAGAGAGTTAATCCAGAGGAGTGCAGCAGTCGTCCCGTTATTGTCCCTAATCCATTATGTTGACATCCTAAATGGATCATTTTTTCCATGTGACAGATGGAAATCTTCAGCTGATTTAAAGTCGCTCTGCAGCAGAAAGTGGCGCCTCCCCGACCTCGTCCGTGTGCCTTTCTCTTTAATTTATCCCTCGCACACATAAGAGTTGCATATTAATTCACAGATACCCATTAGCTCATTGAAGGCCAGTAAATCAGGGCGAAAGAGGCGGCTAATTGACACACAGATAAAGGATCAGGAAGGAACTGGGGAGGAAATGAAGAATAAAAGGAAGAGAAGCAGAGCGTCTCCTTTGTTCTCCCATTGATGGTACGAGGACGTGGCTCCCTCAGGTTAGGGTGCCCCTGTGGTTCCGGCTTGATCTCTTCACCTTCAGGACCGGCGGGCTGCATTCAGGGTCCACTATTCCCAGGACTGCTGCTAATTAGCTAAAAGGGCTCATTTGTATTCACCCTCTGCCTCTTTATCTGCTTTGTCTTTATCCCTTCTCTTCATTCTGTCCTCAGTTTTCTTATCTAGGTTTATCTGGGCTGCTGTAATTATGTTTGGTCTGATAATTAGCACAGCTTGAGACCAGGGTGACCGTATCCCAGCTAACCTCTACAATGTGGGGAGAGAGAATTTTCAACACTTCAATGGTTTTCCCTGTAAATGATGGCCCTGTTGTTCAGACTGTTGAACACATGAAGAAAAACTGCAGCAAAGCAGAGACCAACGCTCCCCCCCATTAGCTCTAATCAATATGAGCTGCTTTATTCCTTTCTGATGATCTTTTAAACAATCCTGCACAGAAATGACATTAAGATGAGGAAAACATGAAGCTTAAAGACTATTGCAACAATATGTTCACTAAACAAACTGAAACTCCCTAAACAAACCGGATTAATCACATAACGT